ACATTCGATTATATATTCGTCCAATTATTATATTATTTGGACTAACAGAACAATTGTTAACCTCTCTTTTCGGTCAACTGGCAAAAGTGTCCTCGACCTCTGGTCTTGATCAACAGTACTTTCAAGGTTTACAGTATGGTATACAATTTTGCCAGTTGACCTTAAGAGAGGTCTACAATTGTATAATTTATATCCTTCAAATTATGATATTCTTCGGACTAACAAACAATTGTCAACCTCTCTATTCGGTCAACTGGCCAAAGTGTATACCTCAACAGTAAACCCTGAGAGTACTGTTGACCTCGACCTCCGAACTTTCAAGAATTACAGTATTGGTATACAGTTTTGCCAGTTGACCTCAATTGTATATTGTATATCCTTTGTTATCCCACCCAAAGTATGATGTCATGTATCAAGTTGAAGAGTTGTATACGCTGCTCAGGAGTTTACGCTATCCAGGAGTTGTACATCGTTCTCAAGAGTTGTGTAGGAAGAGTGTTGGTTTAATGATATTGCAGTATGCTATTATATAAAGGTTATTTTATACTGAGAGGGATTCAATATTGGTTTTATTCCGAGAGACAATATGATATTTCCCGAGGGCCCGGGATATCTGGGATAACTGTACCCCTACCAATTTACCTTTTTGGGCCCTTAATCTTATCACTTTTGTTTACCTTTTTACTCAGTCGGAGAGAAGGAATCCAAAGAGAGCAATAATTGTACACGTGCGTCGTGCAAGATTTCCATTAAACGTGTAACTAAACGGCCTCTCTAATAAAGTCAATTAGACGTTTTTACACGTTGGCTCTCCAAATTGGAGGAGATAAAGAATCATATCATATTATATCATAGATGAAGCAATCATCCCATCAACATAAGCTCACGAATGTCACAGTTAAACTGTTTTAGTTATAATTTGATAAACAGTGGTAACGTACATCTACTAGTTCATCACTGTTCCACAGATGGATGACAGATAATTTCCAATAGCTCATCATGTTTACCGAGAACGAAAGATGTTTGTCCACCATTTTGAATGATACTAACTGGAGTCAGGGTCATCAAGCTATGGAACAGTGGTTTATGAAAATAGATTGGGTTACTAAAGCTTGCCATGTTAAAGGCGATTGAACTATGTTATAGAACAACGTCCAGTACATTATAATATTTAAAACTATAAATTTTGGGAAATACATATAAAGGATCTCCGCCCGCAGGACGTGTATTTTGAATGCCTTGAGAAGAACGCAAATATGGGTAATGGGTAACGGTGTTGCAATAGTAGCATTTAAAAATCTGTTCCTCTCGAGATTTATGGTCTTCTGAAATTATACTATTAATTGGTGTTGCTGCATCATTGCTCAAATCTAGAGGGGTGTTGTTGCATCTTCGGTTTGGTGTTGTTGCATCAATAGTGAGGAACTAAAACCGTGAACTTATTGCTTCTTGGTGATGGTACATGTATACTAATGACAGTTTCTTTAAATATAGATCGTGCGCTAACTGCATGTGTATGGTTATTGAGCAACTCGTCCAAGAAATGGGTTTAATTGGGGAAACAAAATATCGTACGAAAATCTATCACTGGAAGTCTGGCCATCTTGATGCAACAACACGGTGTTGTTGCATCACGATACTCCCCAGTGAATATAATCTTTCCCAAAATATCAATAAGTGAAGTTAATAAAGTGCAAAAATTGGGAATAATGTTGAAATTCTCCCAAATAATAAATATGTGGTAATCACATTTATAATGAACACGTTATTGTAAAAATCGTTAGTTTTTCTCGAATAAAGTGAGCACTTAGGGAATTTTTAGAAAATACACATGACAAGGAATGATATGAGCCCAAAATATTTCAAAAGTGAAACAATTTTTCGGAAGGTTGCCAGTTCTAGATCTGATACTACCTTTAGGTTGAACAAATAGATATCGTTCATCTGTTGAATCT